ATCCACAACGGCGGCGACTGCCCGTGGTGGTGAAGACCTGGGGCAGACTTTGGCCAAGCTGACCTTGAAATTTCAAGGAACAGCAGTGGTTTAAACAGCAGATCTCCAAAAAATAGAGACTATGCTGGGGCTCGAACAACCAATGAGGACGGGTCATTCAAGTATCAAGTAAGTAAGTTTGATCGGAAAAATAAGGATCGAGGAATGCATGTGCTTTTTAGGGACGCCTAGCTGCTTTCTAATTCAGTAGTTTAGTATAGTATATTATATCTTTCTTATAAAGGATAAAGGATAAAGCTCTTGGCGTTGATCAATCCCTGAGGGATCCACCATGCATTCGACCTCATTAACTGCCGTTGGAGGCGAATTCTCCCAGACAAGTCTGGTACTAATTTGACAACCCCGGAGTGATGGAGAGCTTGGTGAGCCTAGGGCGCGTGGATCGATCCCATGTGTGATACAAGGGGCCTCGGACCACTGCGCTACACGCACCCTTTTTCCTATATCCAGGCGGGATATTCCTAAATGTAGAATTTGGGGGTAGAAAGTACAGTGGGGCACAACATACAAACTCGTCCGGAAAAACTTCTGCAGCATATTTACGTTGAGAACAGCTTTTCTACTATAACTTGTGGGAAATCGATTGGGGTTCAAAAGACTGTCAAATAAACAGAAAAGTGTGGAAAAGTAAAACGAAACGTACAGCATACAATGGGATGGTCCGTAACAGGCTAATTTGAAAACCTGGTGATCTTCGTTTATCTCTATTGTAAAAAATTCGGTCCATTTGCAATACTCACAAGCAATGGGTACTCCAGTAACGTTCGGAAAGGGTTAGCATGGCTAAGGATGGCTTGATGGAGAGGTATGACTTTTATGGGACAATAGGAAATGTGATAGATGAATGCCAACGAAATCGATAGTGTTGACGTTTCTTGATGGAATCTTTCTCAGCAAGAATGGTCAGTGATGTTTACATGTTAAGCTACTATCTATTATTGATTTTTTCAGATGACTGTTTGTCCTTCGATATGAAGAACGTCAACAAGTAGAGCATTCAAGCAAAAGTTTTGAATCAGAGACAAAAACGTAGTAGGAAAACAATGTGAAGGACAAAGATTAGTCAAAAATCTAAGGACCTATAACTACGAAGGCTCTTCAGTAGGCTAATCGACGAATGCTACGTGTAGAAGAGTGTTCTAGAAAGTCCTGTAAAGAGATAAGCACCGCACTGGCTGGAGGGTCGAGGTGGTGTCCGGATGACGCATGGAACCGGACGGCAATCGATCGGCGGCATGGACGAGCGTTCGACGATTTCAACGTCAGGAACGATACGATGTGAAGTGTGGTCGGGAGAAAAATGATGTGATATCCTTCCCAGCTGGGTGCATCTGTTTCATCCTTCATTCTATTTTCTACATGAGCCGTTATCACACATATTGTACGAATCCCAAGAATATCGTTCATTCCCTTCGTCTCCTTGCACACGTCATCCACGCAGGTCTTCAGATTTAGGTGTGGATTCGACGACTGTTGCTTGAGTATTTTGACTTTGTTTCCGCTAAATGCTGATCGTGTCGATTCTTCTATGAATTCTAGGATAGCAGTAGAGGGTGTTGTTAGGTTTTCATTAGAACTGGCTGCGGTGGGTCGAACGGAGCTTCTCAGACAAGCCTGACATCAATTTCCTAACCCTAGAGTAGCTCAGCAGGAGCATTTGTTAAATCAGGACGACGTCGAACCATAACTGTGTATATATTAAACAGCACTTTTACCATTTTGCTACAAGCATCTGTGAAAGTCTTTAACATTGTTTAGTTCTTCTTAAAATTAATTTACATCATAGCTGGACATAAATAATCAATTTTAAAAAACCTTATTGCGGCTGAAGTTTTGGCGATATCAAATTCCTGCTGTTAGTCGAATCGAGCTGGCTCGAACACTGAAAATATGAACTAACCATTTCCTTACACTGCCACTTTACACAGGACGATTGTTAATGAAATATCCATTTAAGATGACCTATTCTCTTGAAGACAAGCCGTCCTATAGTATAAGAGGTCTTCTCTACTGAATCCGTTGGTAATTGGCTTAGGCAAGTGTTCATTTCTACCGATTTCATACCATTGCTATACCCACTGTAGTCCTCTGCAAAGAGATGAAGAACTTACAGTCACTGGAGAAATCAAGAAGCTAATCGGTCACTGCGCTAACATTGCAAAGCTTAGACTGCCAATGCTGAGATATTATTGGAATGTACCTTCTTGGTTTACCAAGCTGTGCCAAGGGTTCAGTTTGAAAAGCTGTTGGGCCAATTCCACTTAGCGGATATTCCAAGACAGATAGGCACAGCTATACAGGACCAGTACCCTAAACGAAATTTTCAATAAAAGCCGCGTGAGATAGCAAAAACGCCCCTTCCTACAACATTTCGCGCCTTTTAGGATGAGGATGACATTCCGCCAATGCATCCCACAGAAGAGGCAACTATGGCATGGATTATAATCTTCTACCAGTAAGGAAGGCGCAGATTCTTTCATGCCCAAGTCTGTTCTAGTTTTATTCAGATCAGAGGAGTGTAAAGCCTAAAAACTCAGCTCCGTCCTAGAAGATGGCAGTCAACACAGCGAGGAGTCAGGTACTTTGTTGGCTGTTATTTGGAATTAACTAGATCTCATGACTCTAAACAAAAGACCTACTGTAATATACGCCAAAAAGTTGAGAATTAGAAGTCAGTGCAGCAACTATTTTGGTTTACATTGTTTTAATAAATAGCACAGTAAGGGTTAATCGTAGAAATTATAGAATTGTCAGTGGTGACCAACTGTAGTGCTCGCAATCGCCATGTTGTAGGTACACTGAAGAATCTGCGGGATATGAAAGATTGAGTAAAAATGTTGCCAGTAAAACATATTGTTCTAATATCTACGGGTTTCGTGTGGCTCAGCGCTTGGAGGCGCGCTGCAACACACGTGGGATCCCTCCCCGTACCCGTGCTCCACCAAGCCTTCCATCCCTCCGGGGTCGGAAAATTGATATCACAATTGTCTCGGAGCCTAGCAGCACTGGCTTGATACATCGGTAGCCCACCGCGAGTCATTGTAAGGGCCAGATATGCATTCAATCACCACCAAACGGTGCTTAACGAAGTCGAATGCATGGCACATCCCTCAGGGATTGATCAACACCAAGAGCTTTATCTTTTATCCCTTTTCATCTACGGGTTTTGGTAAATTGGTAAATCAGTGAAAGGCCATGACAATAAGAGTTTTGACTATGTAATGTTGGTGAAGGCACATTTTTTTGGAAACACATGAATGAAGACGTCTTGTGAGTATGAATGCTACACACACGTCTATTTATGCAGCTTTCCTCGATGGTTCATCAAATTACCTTGACGACGAAGTGGCTCCTAAATTAAAAGTTTTAGTTTGCAAACACAGCAGGTATATTGGGCCTCAGCAACAATTCAAATGAGGTCTAGAAGAAAAACTTATTTGGTAAAATATTACATATAGAATAGAGTTTTCCTCTACCATCATTCACTGTCTATACCTACTTTGCATAAGCTATCGACTGATTGTAAAAAATTTAGCAAAAAAGCTATAATTGGGAAACTAAACGGCGGAAAATACAACATACTCATATGTAACACATGTCAGGTAGTTTGCCTCTGAATGCATGAATGACATATGACTCATGTCGTCAACTCATATGGAACGGCTTCCGAAAACGATCATTTAACTACCATGAGAAGTTGTTCGATTCAGCGAATGAGCTCGTTGTCCTTTCTGTTTATAATTGATGTGTACTATCTGTAGGTACGTAGTAAATTACGTAGCAATTTCCATGGATTAATTCATGTGTGTATGTCCTTGCATGTACGTGGGTAGGTCCCTGCACGTCGATACCAGTAATCCAATGACTGCCAAGCGCATGGGAGATTGTTATTGCTTTTCTGACCAAATGCAACATTGACACTATGAGATTTCCTCAGTTTTAAGCAAAATCATTTGCAGGAAATTAGTTGCGAGAGACAGAGCAAGAACCTCCGTGGGGCAGGATGTAATGCGCGTGCACCCGATAAGTAAAATCATGATTCGATCTGGCCCGGGGTCCAACCTTTGCGAATATCTCAGCATCGTTATGGTTGAAATCCACATCACATCTTGTCTTGAAAAATTATAGTAGGCATGAAATAAAACGTAAACATTGTGATTTCGACTACAGCCTCAGCTAAACTTGGTTCAATGCCGATTTGTGTTCTCCAGATCAATTCCGCTGACGGTTGATTTCTGATTGCAGCGTTAAGTGTAAAAGAAGCTGAGAGACAGGCGAAACGAAGGACCTGCATAGTGTGGTGGTGAATGCGTTAGCACTCGGAAAGAGTAATAGCGCGTTCGTCCCCCACCGCAGACACATGCGGTCCAGCATTTCGCAAATATCTCGGCATCATCGTGGTTGTATTCCACATAAAATCCTCCCGTGAAAAATTCTAATAGGCAATATATAAAGAGTTAACATAATAAAATCATTCTTTTTTTTAAAATTTTTGCTTCCTTGGCACAAACTCGAAGCATATTAACCTGAAAACAAAAACAACGTCGTAAATTGTGAACTCTGTGCTGGTCCATTATATGAGTGGAAAAACACACAATTGAAAAGATGAAGTCAACTTTATCTTCTCAACAACATAATACATTGTAAAATCACTGGCATGTTTTTACAAGCATTTAATATTCGTCTGCAGCGACTGGGGAACAGCTGACACAAGACGGACAGACGCGTTTGGCAGTTCGGCCCTGCTTAGTATTTTCATTTTAGAAAATTCGAACTAATTCTGTAATTAAAATTGCGACATGAAATATTCTTTGATAGCTTCAAAAGTACTCTGTATGTGATATTCTATGCATAACAGTCCTGCAATGCCATTGCTTTTAGTATTTCTGTAGATGAACATCTTCATCGATTCTCAAGGTTTTGAGCAGATGACGATGACATTACAACTCATCATGCCATGAGGTCTCCTCGTTGAGGTATTTATCATGATAAGGTTTTCGCGATTTATAGCGTTTTGTCTGATGAACGTTCAAGAATTGATCAGCCAACGTTGGCGTGTCGGGAATCTGCGAACACAACCAACGAGCTTGCGGTGTGTCATGGAGAGCTGAAAAATATCTCATAAGTGATCTATAACGTTCTTCGGTGAGCCGGACCACCTTTCTATATTCTGTTTTTTAGACAACTGGTAAGGTTTAGCATAAATTAAACATTAGAGAGCAATTGTATTGACTAGCCAACAATATTCACTGGCCAGGAATTTACTAAGGAAACGAATAAAGAAAAAGGATAAAGCTTTCGGGGTTGCTCAGTCTCTGAGATAAACGTTATGCACTTAACTCCATTCGTGGGAGTGCAGAGATGGCTGAGTGCATGTCCGGTCCACACAATAACTTAGGTTGGTCTGCCAATGTATCAAATAGGTGTTTTTATCCTCTCAGGGAGCCTGGTTTCAATTTTTGACACCAGACATTTAGAAGACTAAGTGGGGCCGGGGCACCAGGATCGAACCGGCTACCGATTCAATCTATATTGCAGGGCTGCTCTAACAATTGCACTACATGCGTCCCAAGGGAACAAATAATGCTAACAAAAGCCATTTGTCACAATACAATTTGTGCAAATGGTGGCCGTTAGGGGCGAATGCTTTTTAAGCTTTCAATTTTGCAAATATCCGTGCTAAATTTCCCATCTTTCAAAGGATTATCGATTTACAGAGGGAAACGTCCATCAACCTGTATCGAAAATCATTATAAAAGCGCAATACGTTCGGTATTGACCACTTCATCATAGGGATGAGTGATATATTCGACTTCAATAAGCACCGTAGAGGAGGACTGAACTCATATATGGCCTATACAATGGTTTTTGAGCACCCACTGATGTAACAAATCAGTGTTCCTTGTCCTACCAAACACGTCTTAGTCCAATCTATGAACACCCGGAGGATCGGATTAGCCGGACGAGCTGGATCGAGCTAAGGACTACTGTATGCACTGCAGAAACACTTTTCACCAATACGTCATGTGGGTCCCATATAAGTCAATATATAGGAAGGAAGTCAATGGGTAGGAAATTACTACCATTAGTTCCAAGTTTTCGGAGAATTTTTAGTGTGTCGCAAAACTAACGGCACGTAGAAGTGATATTTATGGTAAAAGATGTCACAAGCTTACACTCCAAGCACAATTCACGAAGGCAGTGCAGCATGTTGGGTGCCTCATTCAGCTCACACCACTTAAGTTCCTGAAGCAGAACCATTACTGAATATTGAACTGACGTCCCAATTTTATTTTTAATTTTTAAGGCACTGAATTCATAAAAGGATAAAGGATAAAGCTCTCGGCGTTGATCAATCCTTGAAGGACGCGGCAAGCATTCGACTTCCTTAAGCAGCGTTTAGAGGTGACTGAATGCATATCTGGTCTTTACAATGACTCACAGTGGCCGATCAATATATCGAGCCAATGATGCTGTCCTCCCAGACAAGTCTGGTACCAATTTACCGACCCCGGAGGGATGGAATGCCTGGTGGGCCATGGGCGCGGGGATCGATTCCACGTGTGTGTTGAACCTCCGACCATTGCGCCACAAGGACCACACTGAATTCATAAACAACAACAATGGTTCTAAAAAGTGAAGGCATCTTTGCCACAGTGCTTATTCATGCCTCCGAGTTATTTAACATTCCGAAAAGTTGCATCCGAGTATTTCACATTCCGAAAAGTTCGAGAACCCTCTGAATGAAGAAATTAGAAGTGGAAAATTAGCGAGTGAATGAGTGTGCTGCGTACCAGACTACATATGCGCTCTGGTCGTAGGATAACGGTAGCAGAGTCAACGACGACGTGAAAGCCGTCCGTGAGGAAATTCATGCACTGCAACATAAAATTGTGGAAGTTGGTTATCTAGCCTTACCATCACTACTGTTAGTATCACTTGAACTCATCCATTGGTAGAGTTGTTTTTGTCGCACTAGAGAATTCGCAAATACTTCACCTTTAGCAATCCAACGACACATATATTTTGTAGTTTCAGACCTTCGAAAACGAGTTCCCTTTAATCTCGGCATGACTAATCAACATGTATGCTTTTCCCTCATTGATAAGCTAACACGAGTTTGATAAAAAAAAACTTGTTTTGGCGTCTTTGCCTTCTTCAGAACCGCGTCGATTCGAGTCGATGGTCCACAATTCTTTCCTACACCGATGAGGGTCTTCGTGATAGCATCGAGTCGAATCCAGTGGAGTATTGTCCGAGAAATAACCTCACTTAGATCTCCTTCATTTGATGGTCTGTTTGGTGCTCAAGTGCATTTTACATGCGGATACTGTCTGTTTGTTCAAATGTCTCGTCCCTGTCGTTCAATTCGACCTGTACTAAAAGCATTTTCTAGGAGAATCAGAAGAGAAGCAATTGCTAGAACACCGTAGGTAGGCATTTATAAGTCATCGCGGTTCTCAGCTTTGAACCTCTGCAAGGCCTTAGTTCCCTTGGGCCATTTTATAAGAGAATCCTCTGAGATAATTGTGGAGCTTAAGACTTTAATGACATTACGTGTGCTCACTAAATCGAATAATTTATGATAAGGAAAATGACCAATGTTACGAGCTTTGTTAACTTTTTATTTGCTGCCTACTTTAATTTTTTCCCCAGATCAATCCCGTTGACGGGTGATTGCTGATGGCAAAAGATCGATAGAACTAGCTGAGAGACAGGCGAACTGAAGGACCCGCATGGTGTAGTGGTGAACGCGTTACTCCTCGGAAAGGACAATAGCGCGTTCGTTCCCCACCATAGACACCTGCAGTCCAGAGTTTTGCAAATATCTCAGCAACGTTGCGGTTGTATCTCAGCAGTATTATGATTACAAACTCTGTTTTTTCCCTTATGTGCCGTATTACTTGTTAAAGATTTCCTCACTGATAAAGCGGCGATAAGAAAACAAATCATCACTTAACAGAAATGATTTCTAAGCCGATCACTTTGCAGTCTCATCATTTGTGTGCGGATAAACATCATAAATCATATTAAAATGCAATGCTCAAGATTCGTTTGGAAGAACACTTCGGACGGAGGTCCTCTTCGACTTACCCCGTCGTATGTGAATCCATGAGGGAAGAGGGTGAGATTGAGAGGCTGAAAAATTTCGCACAACTCAGCGCAAGTATTGTGAAATAGCGAAGAGCGTAGAAATTGCAGAACTTTTTTCATCAGCTCTTTGTCGAGTAGAAATCGATGCTGAAACGTCTAAGAGATCCGTTAGGCTATTAAAAAGCCACAGAAATAAACATGAATATGTACGAAAATCAGTTAAGCTGTAAAAGTAAGATGTAAGCATATGCTGTGCCTACCTGAATAACGTTGCTGACACTCATACATGCGCTGCATTCCAGACAAATTACGGCTTCGGTGATGTTACGAACTGAAATCACGTCTTCTCCGAGGCGTCTCAAATGGTGGACGAACGCAAGAAATATGTCAGAATGAGTGTACTGATTACTAATCACCATCCTGATTATTATCACTACCATACCCGAGTTTCTGTAATTTTCGTAGCATCCTGGAGCAACAGTTGAGCAAAATGCCTTTGGTGAAGGAATGTTGGAGTAAAGAAGTCGCATGACATATTTTTCATCGTCCTAAGAAAAGATATGAATGACAAGCAATACTAGGGTCATATAACCCTTTTTTTAATAGAATAAGGTCTAAAGTTGACCGAAAATTACCCCTCAGAGTACGTGGGAACATAAGAGTCAACTAATTTAATATCTATACTATAAAAGAGTTGTAAGGATCCAGTGTGGACCTCTACTGTTGAAAATCTGCAGGCCATAATCTTCGTCGTCTACACGCGTTTAGGTAAGGACTACGTAATCGAAGCCTTTTACAGAGATTAGGAGAAGGCTGGCCTCGAAAGTAAAAATGGCCCTAGAGGAGTCTCACATGTGAACACTCAAAGTGGAAAGAAACGAAAAAAAATGAAAGACTGTTCTGAGCACTTCTTGATTACCGAGACAATCTATAGCAACTTGTAGTAATTCCTATATAACCGGTGGAAACGAAGACAAAATAATACCATAGGAGCGCAGAGGTTTGCGAAAATGGTTTTTATCAGCGTGGGTAGTAATTAGTCGTTTACAGAACTTATTAATTTATACCAGGAATAGAAAACGAGGCTATGTTTCCCTTTTGCACAGCTGAAAAGGACTGGCGCAGAAACGCTGTAGGACTTCACTGAATACGTAAAATTAGAACTGCAGAGCTAGTACCACTGTAAACCGACTTTCATCTAACCACGGGACAAATGGTCAGTATACTTTGCTTCATTAATAAGCTAACACGAAGTTGTTACCACATATTTGTTCAACTAACGTTTCGGCGTCTTCACCTTCATCATAACAGATGATCTGAGTGGACGGTCCACTCTCGTTCGTCTCCTCAATATGGTTGGTGTCTTTGCTGTCCTATCGAGACGGATCTTCCTCACTGAGCACCAATTCAATGAGGCAACCTCACTCGCCAGCGACGACGAATGACTGTGAACCATGGACGCTGACCATCCAGTCTGATGAAGACGAAGATGTCGAAACATCAGCTGAGTAATCATGTGGCAAGCACCTCTTGTTAGCTTATTACTGAAATAAGGTGCATTGTAGAGCTAGCTTTTAAGCAGAACTAAGGATAAGAAAAGGATAAAGCTCTCGGCGTTGATCAATCCCTGGGGGATGTGCCGTACATTTGACTTCATTAACTATCGTTGGAGGTGATTGAATGCATATCTCGCCTTTGCAATGACTCACGGTGACCTATCGACGTATCGAGCCAGTGCTACTATCCTCTCAGAAAAGTCTGGTATCAATCGCGCGAATCGATTCCACATGTGTGCTACAGGGCCCCTCCGACCACTGCGCCACACGCGCCCTTTAGAGCTTCCTTTAGGAGAAAATCTTGGCTAATCAAAATGCAGTCAAAAGCTTTCCACAAATTTATATAATCTAGTGACGGAAATTTTTATGTTATCAGAAATCTAGGCAAACAATACTTTGAAGAGGGTTTTGAATCTTATGGTTTCGATTTTTAGATAACGGGATCATCGACATGATGAAAGAAATTCAAAGAAGAATACCATTTCGTAAAAAGTGATTATCGCCAGTCTCCAGAATGCTAGAGAAAAACAAGTGGAAGACGTAGGAGTGAAAGCCGATTATTTCCACTAACTATTTCCTCACCATTTCAGCGAAGTGAATTGATAAGTTCGTTGTTTTCACCTACTTACTTACTGAGGATGCTGCTACTTATGCTGACATGCCGAAAGTCGGATCTACTAGACTCTGGAGCGGACAGAACTCGTTCGAAATTTTGACACTCTACAAAAACGGATGGATGCTTCACTATGTCTTGTCTAGGACGTCCATGATCACCGAGCAGACAGATCAGAAAGGCAGACAGACAGACAGACACAGACAGACACGGACAGACAGGCACAGACAGACACAGACAAACAGCCACAGACGGACAGACACAGACAGACAGACACAGACAAACAAACACAGACGGACAGACACAGACAGACAGATGTATATAAATGTATATATATATACATATGTATATATATGAATACATATGTTACATATATATATGTATATATATTAACATAAGAGTCTATGAAGAAACTCACTCCCCAAAGTGGATGGATGAAAAACACTCTTTCCTGTAATTCAGACATGAATCGTTCACATAACGAGCAGAATGGGCCTGAAAAAACAACGATGTCGTTGCTGACGGCTACGACAGATATTTCACTTATTCTTTTTACTATATAAAATACGTCGAAGCAAAGATTGCTCTCAGATTGCTTGGGAAAGCTTCCTACGACAGGTTATCGACCAAAGGTGTTGTCGTAGTGTAGATCACTTCATATTTTCAAAAAACAGCCGGCATTTTTGAAGTGGATTTTGACATGACAATTCAAGATATGCGCATAATATAAAATATAACAGAATAATAAATATTTGAATTGGAATGAAAACTTTTTATTAGATGGTGAACTCGAGAAAAACCGACTGACGGCGTGCGCAATTCAGAGGATCTTGAAGGACGATAAGCTTGGTTCAGCTGCAGAACCCAAGCAACTGCTGTTTTTCAGATCCAGAGTAGCACACGCTTCGGTTGTTTTGTCTCTACTCGCCCAGGGGTTTAAATACATGCTGAGAATACGGCTGATAAGAAATAAATGGCGAATACAATAATGCTGAGATATTTGCAAAACTTCGGACCGTATGTGTTTGCGGTGGGCAACGAACGCGCCATTACACTTTCCAGAGCCTAACGCGTTCGCTACCACACCATACAAGTCCTTCGTTTCGCCTGTCTCTCAGCTAGTTCTATCGATTACCGCTATCAGCAGTCACCCATCAACGGGATTGATCTGGGGAGCCCAAATCGGCATTGAACCCAGTTAAGATGAGGCTGTGGTTGCAATCATCATAATGTTAACTTTTTATTTGCTGCCTACCACTATTTTCACGGCAGGGTACTGAAATACAGGCGAAGCGAAGGACCCGCATGGTGTGGTGGTGAATGGGTTAGTCCCCGGAAAGGGTAATAGCGCGTACGTTCCCCACCGCAGACACCTGCGGTCCGGAGTTTTGCAAATATCTCAGCATCATTTTGCTTAAATGGCAAATAGTTTGGTATGTTGTGGATGGCATGTAACTTACCTAATTTCTATTACTGTGGTGGAATCCATTTCCACAGCACTACATCGTGTATATTCTTGCCCTTTTTGTTTTAAAATATTTTTGCCCTGTGGGGCCATAATCACAGTGCCGGCCTAGTGCATTTCAACTAAAACATTACCAAAGTTGTGCACTTGTTCATTTATGTTTCTAATAATACGGTTCATTTCATTATACGCTTCCCCTGGACGGTTTCCCCTCTTCGTCGTAGCTACAGGGCGCTCTTGCGTGTTGTACTACGATATATCGCTGGGTTTATCCCCATGAAGGGTCATTCTTGTTGAAATGAGCACAACATTTCTATCCGAAAGCCTAGAGGAGAATAGACCTATGCCACGACGGATGAACAACTACTTCTGTCCACCAGCTAGACAAAAGCATTGGGGAAAGGCGTTATACCAAAATGATGTTCTTGTGTCGCTTCAAGGAGACCACATGAGCAGCAGTGGGGCGGAACGAGGATGAATAGAGTGTATTTGTGCCTACTCGAACTATCTGATGAAAAGCGAGACCACATGTGATTAAAATATATATTTTTGCCCTTTCTATTTGTCTATTAAGACGTGATACCTGGATGAACAGTAGCCAATGTGGCAAGAAATCCGTACAGTTGATCTTCCGTGATCGAGTTCAGGTCCGTCATCGGTGGTTGATTGCATATTTCTTCCGTTTTGAACATATACTTCTAAATGGTCGTTTTCTTCATCATTGATTCATCGGGTTCGAAGACAAACTCACATAAATAGTTGTCATCCAGTTGTGAAATGGATCGTGTTCGGGTACTGCGCTATAGAATGTTGGCATTAGAAATGGCTTCCTTGACTCTGGAAAACTAAATTCTAGCATCGGCTAGTAGTTTGAAAGAAAAATCCCAAAAGGCAACAGACGTACTAATGTGATTTTTAGAGAATTGCACGTTATCATGCTTCTACTGATAAAGAACTCTTTGAAATTGAGTTTTATAAAGTACGCTGTCTTTCGAATGTGTTTCATAGTACGACGAACCTTCATTGTCTTGTGACTTAATGCACTCGCTATGTGCACATGCGTGGGTAGTATTTGCGCGGGAAATCGTTGCACCATGTGATTCTGATGTTGCCGACAATTCTAAAGCGCTTAGTGGCACTACCTTTCCAGATGAAAACAACGATGTCAAATTCGATACACTGTTATCAGTCCTACTTTCTTGCGCAAGGGGTATTGTTTGTATTGATGGTTCCGCTTGTCCCGTTTCTACGTCTGATGATGATGCCGACGACGTAGGTGCTTCTCCGGAAGCTGAGAGTGTAGGAGAAGTGGGAGACTTTTGAGGAACAGACGATGTAAACGAAGTCGGTGTTTTTCCAGTAACTGATGATGTAGACGATGTCGATGTTTCAGCAGAAACCGATGTTGATCTCGATGACATCTGTGCTGTTCTAGAAAATGGTGGTGATGTAGACGTCAGCGTCGTCATCCATTGTGTTGTAGAACTAGAACTTTCTGCTGTGGTACTCTGTGGAACAGTTGATAGTAGCGTAGGTGCAGGAGTAGTGAACATGGTGCGGTTCGGTGAAGGACAAGGAGCTGGAGTTGTCACGCTTCCACCATCCTGCTGTACCATGTACTTGACAAGGCCGAGAGACTTGGGATGTAAGATCTGAAACATTTCAAAGATATACAATATCATCGATATCCCCTGAAACGTTAAGATCTACCACAAACGTAGTAATGATTTTCATAAAATATTCACTCTGACTATTTGCACCTACCAAGTGAATACTACACGAACTCTCCTACTTCTCAAGCACACATAGCAATCCATTAAACAGCAATAACCTCGGAATCATAGATCGCCTTCGTGACTGCATTAAGTCGACGATTAATTCGATTAGTCTCTTCTTGAACGAGTAAAGGGACATTGTTTTCAATTATTGAGCGACCCCGTTCAAGAGCCTCCTTACAGTTCCTTTTCTGAAACGAAACACTTAAATAAAAATAAAAAGCTCCAAAAATGTTAAGGGATAACTAACTAAAAATGTCTAGTAATTAACCCAGCAATTACACCCGAATACGCAGTATGAACAATTTTCATTTTTCTCCAAATAGGAAATACTCTGGGGAAAACAAATTCTCTACTCTAAGAAAAATAGTTCATCTGTTCTTGAAAAGCAGACACGAGGTTATCGACTCAGTAGTTATTTCACAATTTTAGAACGTTTCGAAGAATTTTGTCTTCTTTAGGGCCCGTATCATCGTTATCGAACGCGCAGTCGAAAGGACGATAGGAGTATCCCGTTTCACACAAGTGAGTGACGGGATCCGAAGCTCCAACCTGCGTCAACGATCAAAAATCAAAGATGCCGTTCTGTGCAGCAAACAGTCGAAGATAAGGTGAGCCGGACACGTAATGCGTATGAATGACAACCGATGGACAAGAGCCGTTAGTGACTGGATACCTCGGGATGTCAGACGTACTGCAGGAAGACCACCGATCCGATGGTTAGAGTTCTCCACGAAGAGCCTGGAAGAATGATATGATGCCCGACGAGTCCCTAAAGTGAGCAGAACTCACAGGGTTACTCTTGCACGCGACAGGGAAAAATGGAAAATTTACTGGCGCCCGCTCGAGTCACTCGACGGCCAACGGGACTGCAGACGATACAGGTGATAGAGAGCCCGTAATGGTTAGTTTGATACGCAATTTACTTAGCCAAGTATTTTTATAACCCTAAGGGAAAAACCTCCAGATATAGTTTTCAATCGCATGATAAACAAGTTCCTTAAGCAATTTATCGTTCTTATTAGGTTAGCCTTCGGCTCAGAGATGAGGAATATAACGGTCCCAAATCATAGACGAAAATCAACCTGACGTTGAGCGTGAGGTCATGTAGAAGCTGCAGAACATCCGTGAATGTGGCTCACCTTGAGTTTTTGGAATTTATGCAAAATACCTTGACAAAATTGCTATTTCTAGATTCTGGATCCACCCCTGGATTTGAAGATAAAACTTGCGGAGGAGTGAACCATTTTGAAATGGATATTTTATTAGTAACCTCGTGCCTGCTTATCAAAGGCACGTCAGCTGATTCCTTAATACCGAGGGTAATAAAAAATCGGTTCCGGATGCTGTCACTCGATGGGCGCTTGCAAAAACAACATCACGTAAGTTTCCAATCACAAAAGTGTCCCCTTGGATGGGTCATCGTAGCATTACTTTAGCGTCAATTTTTCAAAGCTCGTCTATCAACGCTGTCGTCGCTGATAGAGAGAGGTAAATAATCTTCTAATTTAAATAAGCTCAACTCTCTTTAATTATGGTACTAACATTGGCTGTATTCTGTTATAATATTCTATTACAGAAGAAGATCCCCAAATGTGTAGAGAAAACTCACAAAATCGCTGGCATTCGTTAGCCCTATTAGCAGCAGAACAAACCAAATTGAAATCATTCATTGATCGGGGTGTAGTAGTCCACTGAAGGCGTTATCAGTAGCGAAGCTTATGATATCATCGCTTATCACTGAAATGAATGACATGAATCTTCCTAACTCCGTGAGCATTAGGCTGCTAATGCATCCAAGAAAGTCATGCTGGCATTCCAACACGAACATTCCGAGCGGAATTCTCTAATTATAAACTTACGTACGTGGATCGTCAACCACGTCCAATCGTGCATGCACCTGCACAGTCTCTTGGGAAAAGTCTCAGCTAAATCTGCTCGAAATTTCGCGGAGAAGTTTACTTCACGCCAATTTAGGTTGATTTTTGACAGGTTTTTGGCTTGAAACGTCAAAATACTTTCAAATGTGTGTGAATCAGCAGCACATAGACTTCAATAGATGTTGGACGTAATTTTATAGAAGAATTTGGTAAAAGCTAAATTTTCTAAGCCTCGATAATACAGGACTCTGTCTGTAACTACTCTACTGTGTTAAATCAGTTGTGTGCTCCCACCACGTATGCTAGTAAACCGCCAAGGCATTTCAGCTATGGACGAAACCTAATCGTAAGGAGACAAACTTCATTTTTACCAGTAGACATACTAGACATAGACAAGCAATTATAATGACGAACTGAAACAAATATGGTGACGTGATTTGTTTTCTCATCCAGAGAAAAGATGGTCCAGCTTGTAAAATACCAATCAGGTAGGAAATACAGAAGATCTAAATCATGATAAAGTGGTACTACCAAGCTATCAAGTAGTATATCTTGTCAAGGACCTTGGATGAGGAATAACCAGGAGAGTAAACAGGACTCCAACAAAAATTCTGCTGCATGGACCACATCCAAATTTTGTCACTGGTCATGTGAACGCACAGTATACATTAAAGAACTCTATACCTGAAAAATACATGAAATTTGTAAACACCCTGAATCCTTCTGATGAACTACAACCAATACTGAAAGCCATGTGCATGATTTCGATACCCATTTTTAACAATTGAGGAAGGGATCTGCTGCAGATTTAGCATGAATGGTAGTTTCAGCTCCTTTAAAAGGAGTTAGTTCTTGTGTTGCTGGCTAGAGTGAGCTCACGGTATACTCTTCGTGTAACGTGAAAGACTATGCTCAACGCTTACAAATTATCAAAAAAAAAAGATTTTCTTGGACGAGTTTGAGCGTTTCGCCTAGGGAGACAATTGTTAGTGAAAAGATTACTATCCGTGCTCCCCTGACCAGCTTAACTAAATTGTTTAAGCGCATTTGTGGGATCAGAATATACAGAGACAATTGCCTTTTTGGAGAGACCCAACGGACAATACGTACTGATTTCAGTACAGCGCCGAAGTCTTCAAAAATCGGCATTTTTCTATGGTAAGAAAGAAAACTAGACGATTTCGCGAACATGTTGAAACACAAAACACTGGCCATCTTTTCATGTATGACCAAGTGGCGCTAGCGTTTCTCAATATAACTGATTGACCAAGTTGTTGAAGCTTTTCATTTTGTTTCACTTTTCATTTTCTGCCTTCTATAATTTTTATGGCAGGGTATTAATAGAAATACAACCACAATATTGCTGAGATATTCGCAAAACTCCGGACGGCAGGTGTCTGTAGTGGGGAACGAAAGCGCTATTGTCCTTTCCGGGGTGTAACGCGTTCACCACCACACCATGCGGGTCCTTCGTTTCGCCTGTATCTCAGCTTTTCATTTTCATTGCATGGTATTCAACACTCAGATTACGAAGACTCATTTTATGTGGCGAGAGCCTGGTAAAAAGATAAAGGATGAAGCTCTCGGCTTTGATCAATCCTTGAGGGATGCGCCATGCATTCTACTTCATTAAGTATCGTTGGAGGTGATTGAATGCATATTTGGCCTTTACAATGACTCGTCGCGGCCTACCGATGTATCGAGCCAGTGCTGCTATCCTGCCAAACAAGTCTGGTACCAATTTTCCGACCCCGGAGGGATAGAAGGCTTGGTGGGTCATTAGCGCGGGAATCAATTCCACGTATGTGTTGCAGGGGCCTCCGACCACTGCGCCACACGCGTCCTTGAGACCTGATACGACGTAATTTTGGGTCAGGCTCAGAAAGAAAGGAATTCGTTCTCCGCTGGAATACATGGCTGAAAGACAGTGGAATATTCTGGCCTTTCAATAATATACGATTATTCTACCAAAGATATACGAGTTGTGGGCTCGTTGAGATTCCACCGACTTTAATTCTCCCCCTCATAGTATCTTATCGTTTCATTTATCCTACTTACTGTGACGCACCTCTTGTCTCTTCCATGAGGACTACTGTTCTAATGGCTTCACATATTCTCATATTCTCACATATTCTAACAACTCTTCCACTGAAGTGTTCGCTAGGGCTGTGCGTCGTTTTCTATAAGAACTAGGCGCCTAAGCGATAAACACAGGTTTCCTTTGAGGTCACCACGTTAATGTCAATTATTGATTATTATGCAATTCTTTTCTTAAAATATCTATTCCCCAGAATGATGGTATCCCATCAAACCATCTAGTCATGAGACGAAAACTTCACAAGTTTTTTTACATGGCGAGTAGTTGCTGAATGTATTTATGCGGCTCTGGATGCGACTGAACGGCTTCACTCTTTGTCTATTTAGACAAGGATATCAGAGAAAATGAAAGATGAATCAGCGTGACGTGTGTACAACACCTAGAGTTGATGAACTGTTTTCTATCCCTTCGTGGATAAGATCCACCGACGCGACTCGATCTCGATTCATAGCGCACGTGGCAAAAAATCAGGCAACGTTAAGAGACGTCGGCGAGACAAAATTCAACTCCGGACTCTTAAAGGATAAAAGAAAATGATTAAGCTCTTGGCGCTGACCAATCTTTGAAAGTTGCGCTATGCATTCGACTTTATTATCGCTCGTTGGAAGTGGATGAATGCATACGTGGCTTTCACAATGACTCGCGGTGGCCTAGGCATGCATTGAGCCAGCGCTGTTATTCCCCGAAAGAATTCTGGTACCAATTTGTCGAGATTGGAGAGATGGAGGGCTTGGTGAACCTTGGGCGCGAAGATCGATCCCATGTGTGCTGCAGGGCGCTTCCGACTACTGAGCTACATGCTCCTCTTCCGGACTCTAAGTGCTAAATATTGTACCATAAAAATACAGAGATTCTTATGCTGAGCCGCTCAAACATAGTAATAAAGTTTCTTTCCAACGTTGTAGTTTCAGACAGTTATTCCAGTTAGTTAATTAGTTACTTAGTTTGTTAGTGTAGTTATAATCTCACTTATAGCTATAGTTCTGTTTTCTCGAGAGGCATCAGAGCATGATATTTTGCCTTCGTGAAGAACTCCAGCCATGAGGTCGGTGGGCCTTTCCATCGTAGGCATGACAACAATAAACATAAAACCAAAAGCTAACTGCTCATGTTTAATGATTCTTATTACTGTGCATTATGTGCGCTACTGCGTACAGGAATGTGTAGCGCACTGGTTAGAGTCTAGTCTGCTATGATACACACTATATCGCTCTGTAGTTCGATGCCACATGCAGTGTTCGCGAAACTTCCATCCATTCTGGAGCCAAAAATCGGTGTCAGAATTTTCCGCGAACATAAAAGCCTTGACTTTTGTAACGAATAGTTAGCGGCGGAGAGGAGCGGTTCAGATCTTGTAGAATATTAGCCGCGTGGGTCTTTCAGCTGTTCTATTAATCTAAAAATCTCAAACTTGGGTAATTAAACCGTTTGCACGCATAAATACAACATTAATAGCATAATAGTAACGATAGAGAAGTAGTGGTAAAAGAATCACGTTAAAGTTAAGTAAAAGTCAAAGTTATAAGGTGCTATGGCTAGTAGTGAAGCGAGGCTAACAACGAGATAATGGTATTTGAATAATACTACATCATGAATGCAATAAACAGTAATAATGAATGATTACATACAAATAACCGTTGGTGATCTGTGAGCGATGCCGCGCTCGCGAATGGCTGAGAATGAGTCGAGGTGATTGAGGATGACTGGTAATGATGTTGCGAGGGGCGGATTATCCGCGCTACCGATCGGGGGTAAGGTGAGTGACGGCATGTCTCCGCCGTCGAAGGCACCTGGGTTATATTGGCCGCGGGAGCCGCGTGTGTATGCAACCGCGGCCGATCTGGATTGTTGGCCCTGGACTGCAATAGACTGTTCCTAACTGCCTGAAACATCAAACGTTATTGGCCTCGTTGTTTCACAACACAGTAGTAGACAGTTCTACTGCTACGCCTCCACCCTCGGATAAGCCATCGCTGTTGTGCGACCCAAGTCAGCCTGAACCCTGCTCTACCTGAAACACTGAAGGTAATTGGGTAGACCACAAAGGTCATTTTGCGGGATGTGGCTTGCGGCTGCGAGAAGACCATGGTGTAGACGTCAACTACTATTGTTTAGATAAGTAGAGAACTTTTCCAGGGAGAAGTTTCCTACAACTTTATACATTAGAGCACCTTAAGTCATTGTATAGGCTATACATACTTCCAATCACTTCTGCAATGCTACGAATGGAAACAAATGCATGTCGCACCTGCAGGGGATTAGTCAATACCGAGCGTTTTATCTTTATCCTCACCATTGCAACACATATTGAAATATGTTGATGCATTCATGATGGGGCATAATTTTTCTCGCGCACGAAGCGAGACCAGCCCTGTGGCTTGTTATGTCCCGATCCCACTTGCGTGAGTCTTTGCATGCCAACGTGGGTAACCGAAATGAAAGTGCGTCCTGTGTGAACTTATATTATCTACTATACGTAGCAAGGGATGCTTTCCTGTCAGAGTCAAGATAAAAAGAAATTAGTTTTTACCCAGATCCTCATCTGAGACTGAACCCCCGATAAAAATTGCCACCGCCTTAAACAAAGCCCATTACCTCTATCTAACCCGTAACAGCCGATGAATGCTGAGATGATGACTTGGAGAACACCTTGGAGAGGGTTGCTTTGAATTACAAGAAAAAACTTCGCTGAAGCAGCAACATACCATCAAATGGGAAAACATGTTTAGGAACTACACAAATCGTTGTGAAGGTGGGCATCCAAATATTAGGCACCAAGTTAGCAATTTTTTCAAAGGCTAACTTTCAACCAATCTCGGCATGGTTGAATATTGCATGTCTGTGTTCTGGCAGCAGGTTATGACGAACGAGGAACTCGCTCTGAAAAAACAATAGCAAGCTTTACCATACGTTATTAA